GGTATTCTGTTGAACCTATTCAACTCGAAATTTCCCCGTTGGCTTGACAAATACCTTCGTCCTATTACGGTTGATGAGTTAAATATATTACATATTACACTTTAGTTTCAGATACCACCTGTCCAAAACTAACCACAACTACAATAAGCAAGAATTTGCTTAATAGTGCAGAAATAGACTGTGTAAATTTCTTTTGACTTAACTTTATAACTTTGGATAATAACCAATTATTATAAAAATATAAACGGTTTTTAACCGTTGCCATGAGTCACTGTCCAATATTTTCATATAGAAACAATGTACATGTCAAATTACAAATTTACAAAAATATAGAATTACTTACTTATATCGTTTCCTTTAAAAACCCGTTTTTGTGCACCAAAGAAGAGCTCCATATTTTATTTTCTCTAGTAAAAACACTAATATATCCACAGAGAGTTTAATTTACCTAAAATGAAACATCTAACCAAAAATAATTTTCGTCAGATTGTTGGTTCAAATCAGTTTAACAATATTTGATTAGCATCGAGAAGTGTTATGGTGCAGACTTGTACCTATAAATAGGCAAACGTCTCCACACGTGGCAGTGACATTCAGAATTTCAAAAATGCAGTTTTAAATACCTCAGATTATTTCTGGGTAGTAAAATCCCATTTAGACTTTAAAGAATCACTCGCGGTTTAACGATTTCGTAAAACTGACGTCGGCAGAATTCGTAATTTTAGTTTTAGCAACCGGCTGGACGGCCGGCAATTAAAACTTCTTCAACGGTCGGTGCGCGACCGCTATGGTATCTATCGCATTTAAAGCGAAATCTACTTTGTTTTGATCCTTCGACAATGGTTCTCTGACGAAACCCAATGTTTGTCTCCTAACTACAATTCGGTTTATACTGGTTGTGCAAATTTAGATTTTTCGACTTATCCATTATTGCTAGAGCTGACAGGTTACGAATTTTGCCTTCGTATCTTTCTTTGTCAACACAACGAAACTAAAACAAAACACTCAGGTCAGCGATATAAAAAAATGGACATACCACAATGTTAATGACTGGTGTCATTTAAAACTTATCATAAAAATACCATATCAATTGTTTAACGGCAGCCATAGAAATCGAAATAAATAAAAAAAATGCTGCCATACTTCAGACTCATTCTATTAATTCATCCATTTAATTCCAGAAAAATTAAGAACAAACAGATCCAGTGGATTCTGGATAGTCATTATGACACTCGTCTAGCCTTCTGCTTTCTATTCTCGTTAGGTCAATATGATAAATGCATGAAAATCACCGGAAAAAAATGGTTTCATTTGCAAATATCTATAATGCACAAAATTATGCATATCTCTAAGAGTAGGTATTACGTCTCTCAGGCCAAACAGATCGGTACATTTGAACTACTCCGTATGTCTGACATATGGAAGTATAGGAAAGTTATGTGGAGGTATAGAATAGGACAGAGGCCTAATGGGATATATATGGAAGTATATGTCGGTTATGAGGAGTAGTTCAAATGTATCACTAAGTTTGTGCACTAACCGGCTAAAATATAATTCTGAATATTGACAGTTCTCATTAGATTGTTTGAAAGTTTTAAATACGAGTTGTGTGAATTTATCTAATATTTTTATTATTCTTTTCCTTTTTGAGAAGTTTCTATAAAATGGAATTGAATTATTCCTTATAGATATGTATTTTACATTTATGGTATCTGTTTATTTTTGCCATAAAATGCAAGTAAGCTATTAAGAGTTGGCGTCATACAACACACATAATTGTTGAAATCTGGACATCCGGGACATAATTTCATTATGTTGTATTTTAAATTATACAAAATTATACCAAAGCGTTGTGGTTAGTATTTTCATTCAATCTGTGGTCAAAAAGACCAAAACATCTTTACACGCGACTGTAGAGTAACCATATACATTACGCAAATTGTTGTAATTAAGTAAGTTTCTGAGAAAATCACTTAAGACACACCTCCTTTAATTGATGTGTTTAACGATAATTTGCAAAACTGAAAAATCGGCAGCATGTATTTTGAAAATACTTGGCACTATTAAGGACCAACCTTGCGACTAACACTTAACTGTACGAATGTTTAACTAAAGGGAAAATTTTCTTAATTTGTTCGGTGATTTTTCAATTTTGCTTCCTGTTTCCATTTCCATTTTTCCATTCGATTCCATTTTTGTTTATCAATTTTGCAGTTTTTCACATACTTTGTCCAATATTTTCAAACAATCTGACATTAACTGACTGACTCATCTTTTCGATTCGAATAAGAGGCTCTTTGCATTTAGTAGCTACCTCAGAGTTGATCCGGTGTCACTGTCGAAACTACTACCCAGAAGTATTGTGAAGTAGAGTGAAAGTTAAATTTTTAATTCATTTGAAGAAACCAGTTACATTTTCTACTATTTCTTACTATTTTCTCAAAGAATTATTTAGATTGCTTTGAAATACCAATAACCGTTATTTGGGTTTGAAGTTTATATATTTTCGAGAATTTAGATGACAGAAGCCCTCGAAAACCAAACGCACATAAGTCATGGACCCTCTTGTTGAGAGGAAAACCAAGTTCTAAGGGTTTTTAACCAGGAGTCTTCCGGGTCCTCTTCTGCGCAAGATCTTTCCGTGAAGTATTAACTGAAGCAGATCAAATCTATTTTGGTTGTTCATTATATGTCCCAGATATTCTAATTTGAGTTTCTTAATGATATCCACTGTTTCGGCGTCTTTCTGAAGCATATCTAGTACTGTCTTGTTGGAAACGTGAGCAATCCAGGAAATTCTGAGAATTCGTCTGTAGAACCACATCTCAAAGGCGTCAAATTCAAGATGGCTCTTGTTTTCTTTATACGGTATTTTATTTCTACAGAGTCGTCCCAGTGCTCATAGTAGTGTGCAAACATGTGTAATTGGCAACTTTTTCGATTGGTTGATTATTGAATACCAATTGGTCGGGTTTTATGTTATGATTGCTAATTACTTACGTTGTTTTAGGGTTCTCAATACCATTTCACCCACCCACGCTCACACAGAATTCTAAAATTGAACCATTAACTTATTTAGATTTTCAGTTTCAATGGACCGGCAAATACATTCAAAGAACGACGGGTTCAAAGTATTTTCGTTCATAAATTTCAAATAGCCGTTACCTTTTGTAACTTTGACAACAAAAGAGATCCTTGAACGCCCCGATATTCGGAGATCTAAATTTAGCCACCGCGAATTTTCGAATGATAAATGACAACACGTCGAACTGATAGATATACGCAACACGGGTCTAAACATGCCACGATAAAAAAATTACGAAAATACGAAACCAAATAGCTGAAGTAATAAAAGTTGTTTTAATTTGTTTGAAGTGAAACCAAAACTCTACGCGACTGAAAGGGCATGATGTTTGAAGCGCGTAGCTTTGGTTCACACCTATTCATTTACCTTCTCCCCTTCACGCTAACATTTTTCTTATAGAAAGGTGTTGGTGAACGGTTATTACAATCAAGAGTGGGTCTTTTTTGTCAAAATTTGATTTGTAATGTGGGATATATTGCTGCCATTAATACATTATTATTGCAAAGCGGTATAGATGTGGATATATATGGATATAGTAGATACCGCATTAAAATCCTACTAGGAGGGTAATATTGGCTCAGAATTACTTTTTAATAAATAGAAAATCTTACAGTAGATACTTGGTGACCGTGCCTTATCTGTTTTAGCTAGCACTGATATTATTGCTATATCACGGCAAAACCGTACCACGCGGCGTCGAATATTTTTATCACAAACGAATTTGAGGCCGATACCATGATAGGTTTTAATTTCATTCTTGGGAATATTTATTTTTAATGACGTTGCTGACCTTGGCATATTCCCTATCATGGGTACTCAGTATTTTTGATAACGTTTCGATAAAGTTGCTCGTATTGTAAAAACGCAGTTTCAGCTATATTTAATTATTTTCAACTAATTTTTCAAAGAAACTTCCACAGGCTACTGTAATGCTTTTTACAAATATTCTGGATTCCTCCTGCGTCGGTTTTTGCTTTTCGAGCAATTTCGACTAAGCAAAAACCGACGCAGGAGGAATCCAGAAGTTTTGTAAAAAGTATTTTCAACTAGTTTCGCTCAAATTGTTTTTCTGCAACCCTTATCAAATAAGTTTTCAAAAATTTTTTCAATAGTTGATTTCATTTCACCAAGATGCCCAATGATTTAGGAAATATAAAATTCTGGCTTGAATATTAATGTCTAATGGTGGATTAAATACACAGATAACAGAGGATCTTACTTATGTTACTTCCATTTTACTAGTCTACTAATAAAATGACGGACAAAATTATTTGCTAGAAAAATTCTTGAATAAACTCTTTTCACGACAATAAAGCATATTCATTGCATACACAATAATTTCTTCTGTTTTATTTGACCCCATAATGTTTTGCAAATATTTCAGTCTTAGATGTAAGAAAAATCTTGACATTCTTGTAATTTACTTGTAATGAATCTCCCACCTTTTGGGATGAGGAAATTTATATCTATTATTGCAATTTCTATTTGATTTTCTCAGTAACATTGCAAACCTTACTGGCTCAAAAATAAATCTAAAGAACATTGTATTAAAATGTATCATCTACAATTTCAAGCAACGGTGCGTGAACACTGGGAAGACTTCGGCGTAATTTGCTTCTCGATTGATGGTTTGCTACGCTAATAACGTTTAAACTAATTACCTTCATAAATGAGCGGTTCAAACGATACGATCGATCTCCCGTAATACAGGTTAGAATTTCTCTTTCGTTTCTAAAGGAAAATGCTGATCGATATTAAAATCTATTAAACCATTAGTCGACGGTCGATTAAGCTAATTTCGTTCACGATTCTATTAAATTTCCAATAGCAGACTTATAACTTTATGAGCGATATTAAATCGATTAGAAGAGCGCAAAATTATAATTTAAATAATTTTTCTAATTTATCGTTTCAGAATCCAACCTCGCATCACCAAAAAGAAGTGCTGTCGTCCAATTCTGGGCACTTGGTTAAAGTTACTGCTAGAAAAATTCCAGCACTCAACACTTATCAGGTAAGAAAATTGAACAGGACGTCTTAATCTGTATTAGCCAAAGAGGTGTTTCTTCTATTTGGAGATGTTCTTCTTCTCCTTTACTTCTATTGGCTACACTGCTAAGATCATTCGGCCACTTACAACTATAGGTCAAAATTTTCTTTATTAAATAAAGGATGCCTTAATTAAAATGGACTGAATGAATCGATCACCCTCCAAGGGGAACAAATTAATGGAAAATTCTTCTCTCTTCGAAACATTTAACCGAACACTAAATCCACACAATGGAACCAATTTCAAGTTTTTTGGAGACGATTACCAAGGATTCTGTCGGGAGCGAGCGGAGGTTAACACGCCATTTGCAATGCTCACGACAGATTTGGAGTTAATAATAATTTAACTTTTTTTCTCCGTTGTTTCGTAAAACGAATCCCTATTTCCGTCATATCAATTGTTCGGTCACATTAAATAACGTTTTTTCTTCTTCACGCCATGGCAATGTTTGAATTTATCTATGATGCAACCTTTCAAGATAGAGGAGTATTGAGCAGAAGTAACATTTAGTCATTTGACATTTTAATTGGATAACTCGTTCAGTCGCTGAGATATTGTTCAGATCCAATATTTTGTTACTGAGGATTGTCGGGGTTTTGGGTTTTATTAATATCGATTTTGAAGCCGTGGTCATACCTGAGTGTGTTGATTTCCTTCCGTAAAGTTTGGAGTCCCGGCATACGTTAATTTTTCAAAGAAACTTCCCCAAGTTGTTGGAATTTGTAGATACATTTCATCTCGATTTCTCTTGCGTTTGATATTCACTTTGTCTTCGCAGACATAATGCTGGCTGGCTTCCTCAGTGCGCTGTCTGAAACTCGTCGATGTTGGATACCATTTATTTTGATTCTCTGATTCTTCGTACATTTTATGACATAATCATGAAATTGAATTTTTCTCAACCTAGTTAAATCCGTCGATATGACAACCTACTTATTTTTTAAATTTCATGGTACACTCTTTGCATTTTTCGAAAGCTGTTTTTTCGAATAGTACCTATTCTATGTCCTTTTTTACTGAGTTTTTAATATTGCATATAACTGCTAGGTAAATGTTATAAATACTTATATGACAATACTTGTTTTTTTAGACCGGAATACTTTGTACATTTTGAATGGAATGCAAATCTTTCACAGATCGTAAATTGAATTAAATAAATCATTAATTTTTTGACAGCAGAACAATCTTATGACGCATTAAATGTTTTTTTTTATTTACAGTTTGTTAAAAGACACAAGTATGTTAACAATTCTGTTATTTCGTATTTTAGGCAAATATTGTATAGAAACTTTTATGTTCTATGAACGATTTGCAAACATTAGAATTAAAAATGTATAGTGTTCCATAGTGTATAGGAAACATGCCTAATATTAGTCGGCATAAAAAATACAACTAATTTGTTAAATTAAGCAATCTCTAATCTATAATAATGAAATAAATAGTAATAGTGTACACTTAATTTTCTACACTGTGTATATAATATACATATCAGCATTCTTCAATACTTGCTCTATTTTGAGAGGACGAATTATGAGTTGCAATAATACTAATAACATATTTTCAAAATATCGCAACTTTAGTGGCTCACTTTATATTGAAGATTTTTCCACATGAGACTACAACTGAATTTCCTTCAACTGCTCATGGTGTTATACATGTCATCGATTTTTTCTACACCGGAACCATTGTTCTTCACCATTGTTTAAGTACAATAAGAAATGGTCTACAATTTTACCAGAAAAAAACTGACTGATAATTACCCAAACTTCAATGAACCGCAAGTTCCTGTTTCATTCATTCATTCTTGGCTGCGATATTGACTCCGGTCGTTTCGTATTTAAAGTAATTTTGTACAGACGTAGTTGTTGATTCAAGTATTCAATGTATTGCCTTGCAAACAAAAGTGACTTTGTACCGACCCTAGAAAATGATCTCGAGTAAAAGCTTCGTTGACTATTTATATCTGATCTAGAATTGTCTATTTAAATATGTAGAGGCGCATTTTTTGATTATTGGACTTCTTAATTAGACTTTAATGGGAAGTGGATTTGGGCATATTCCCCAGACCGCAAAAAATTGAAAATAATAATTACTCAGAATGAATTAAAATCACAACATAGAAATTCTTAATATATGATTATATCTACATGTATTTATAAATACAAACTGCAGAATTGTTTTTTTCACTTTTTTATTACTGAAGATCAGAATTTTCTCAAAGCTTATTCAATAAAGCTGGTGCGCTTTTACTTCCCAATGGAAAATTTTAGGATGTAATTCAACTAGATACTCCAGCGATACCAGTTGGAGTGAAACATTCAATAATAACACACCTTGAAATGGCGTCAAAAAGTGAGTGGAGAATTTGGATTAACCATGTAAAAAAGTTAGTCCATGTCAGAAAATAATCCTTTATAAAGTATTTAATTTTATTAGTTTGGCATTTATCTAAAATTAGTAAAAATGATCCTAAAAAACAAGTTCTGCGCATGAAACTTGCTGAAATAAGCAAAGCGACTGTTATTTAATCGAAGTGAGCCATTGAATAATATCGTGGAAAGTCTCACCTTTGTCGAGTCAACCTTCTCACGCTGGGCTGCGATATTGACCTTGTCCGTTTACTAGACATTTAAGTCAAGAAACTGCCGATTAGCTACAAACCGACCAAACGAGTATAAATAATACGACCATTTCCGATTTCTTGTTCCATTCAAATCGCATTTAAAGAGACGCTGTCGATACCGGAATTCTGCCACTTGCCGCTTCTCGCGTGTCGGTTTTGTTTATTTATTTGCCTCTTTATCTGCCTTATCGAGTCGTACGTAGAAAGAATCAGTTTGTTTGACGTAGTTAAATATTTCTTTGTTTGTAATTTTATATCTTTGCGTATCGATAATTAAAGACAAAAGTAGATTATTTATTTTATAATGAATTTTGCCATATGTTCAAGTTCTAAGGGTCAAAGCTCTAACTTTAGAAAAAGTTAGCTACAAAAAGTAGGACAGTATCGCAAAAAGATGAGATACCCAACAATGTCGAAAAATGGACAGTTAACAGTAAATATTTTTTTTAATTTTTATTAAAATTCCGATATATTGATCGGTTTAAATAAATTTTCAATTTTTTTCAATTCAAAGTTTTAGGTTATAACAAACTTAAAAGTCCCCTAAAAGGTTTTTAATTTGCTTTGTTTCTAGATTTTACTAGGGCCTGTGAATACGTTTTGTATTACGAAATTGGATCCGATCTAACCGATCTGACGCAATTTAATCCGGGTAATAAATGATATATTAAACACGGCTATGATCCAGGTTATAATTGAATCAAACCTTTTTTGTCCTATCTTTGTTAGATGAAAATTGACTCGAAACGGTTTGGGTCCCATCAGTTGAACTAATTTGTAATTTGTCATCATTGTCCTTCGAATTTTATTAGATGGTTACCATGACTAATTGTGGTATATACAGCAATAACAATTCGTGCAGTCAAAAGAACAATATTTTAAATTATTACTTTGGTTATATTGGTCAAAGAAACTTCTTAACAATTTTCGTAACGTTTTTTTACTGGAGACAATCGCCCATTGGCGACTTCCGTGGAGGATTTATTCCATTCCAGTCAGGGACCGAGACCTATGCTGTGACTTGATATTTCCAACAAATAAACTCTTGAACTTGAACTTGCATCGGCGTGAATAACGAAAAGAAGTACTAGGATCTCTATTGACTATTACAACGGAAAATAAACCGATAACAAGTACTTTTAACCTCATGCAATGGTTCCCACAGAACCTCCGTTAAAAAGGTTGAGGCTTGAACTTGGTTTGAGCTTTGGTTTCTTCCGTCCTGTCCTTAGAAACTTGATAGTTTACTTTCTTATTCGCACACGAACTCTAAGATTTGTACATATCGACTATTGCGTTGTTCAATTTAATTAAAGTTATACGAGTGACAGAATTAAAACTTACACTCACTAAAAATGGATATGCACTATTTCCTCGTTGTTCAAATTGTATTTAAATTGGAATTGTTTATCGGCTTACTTAATAAAAACCTTGATTTCCTGAAAATCTATTTTTGAGATATTTTCCAGAGCCATCCTTATTTCAACGCCTCGTAAATGAAATAAGTTATTAATTTCTAAAGCTGATAGTTGGCGTCGAAATATTCGTCAAGTCATTCATAGAGTTAATTTTTTTTGTAATGGTTGGTGCGTGGTCATATGAATTAAAGTCACTTAACACATGACAGATAATATGTATTTCTCTTTATTTCAGCCTCTCGAAAAAGAGACACTAATCTCGTCGAGTTATGGTTCACACTCTGGTCCATCGTCGAGGCATCTAAGCGCCACCTATCGGAACGCAGTCTCCAGAAGTGCATTTTTCAATTCCGAAGTAAGTACAGCAGAACTCGACGATTAACTTATTTATCTGTATTATATATGACATGAATTCGTTGTGTTGATATAATCAAAGTTATTCCATAATAACACCTGTTATATATGATTGATTGGTGTCCTGTACAATATCGTTAGAGGTTTGGTTGGGCATATGTAGTAAAAAAAACTTCGAACAGATTCGTTCAGATTTTAGAATCTGATGGGCATTTTGATTTGTTGTTTAACATTATTAATATAATACAAACAACAACTAAAGCTCATCATTAAGATTATAAATGAACGAGACAGTATAATGAAGAGATAATAACGACAAAAACTGCTGTTTTCTAAAGTACAATTCTTCTAGTAATCATTTGTATTTATTAATGCCGTATGTGCATCCAGAAAGCTATATGTATTGGCCTGCTATGTTGTAGACGTGTAAATACGCAATACAAATAAAATAATAGCAAACCGCAATAGACAATGTACCAACATTTTCATTATAATATTGATTTTGATTTTGTTCTTATTAGTCTTGGACTCTATGTTCCTCTTTACTTAAATTTAATTGACACCTAACTATTAGAGTTTCGTCACTTTATTGCTAATATTGTTTACAAATGCTTTTGGGTATTGAAAAATATTCTTACATGTCATTTTAAATGGATTAATGCAGTCTCATTCTTTCTGTCTAAGAAAGAAAATTAGCATCACCTAAATTAATGTGCGCCGAGAACTTTTATTTCTTCTGCTTAATTGTTTTTTTTGCTAATTTATAATATGGAGGTTTATAAATTCGTTCAAAATTGAAGTTGTACAATAAATTCCACAAAAACAAAAATTCTTGCCAATTATAGAGGCGTCTCTATGCTTAGAAAACAAATAGAAACAGAATAACGGCAATATCGGAAATGGTCTATCATTAAACATTTTCACTATTTCCTTGATTTTCACTTTATTGTTTTTGAGCACTATTTGTACTTTAATTATGTTTATTGCCGTTTTAAGTTTTTCTATAAGAGCTTCTTTTTTTTATCTTCTTTATATGTAGAAAGGAAGAGAAAACCAACATATAAGCAACGAAAGTCCTAAATTGTTAACCAAGTTGTGGACACTAAATGCAGTGGGAGGGTCTTTTAAGAAACATTTTATGAAAGAAACCAAGTTTCGTAAAAACTGTATAAAAATAATCCGGCTTTTGAAATTTCCGTAAAATTAATTTCTTATCTACGAAGTAAAAACAATCATGCGTAAAACAAACTTTACTAGTGTTATTCTTAAGTCTCAAAAGGGAAGACAACAACAAAGGAATCTGCACAGCAACGATCCGATCGTTTATGTTTCTTTTACATAACACAATGGGAAAAAAGTTGCTGAATAACGCTAATCCGAATGTTGTTAACATTTCGCTTTTTAAAAAAGATTACCGTTAATAATGTGACTGTGTTACTTTGTACGTGTGTACGACTCGTTTTATTTCTGAATCGATTGGAACCGAGTATTTAATTTGCTGCACGAAATAATGTCGTTACTTCGTGAAATACATAAATAGTGCACTGCGGCGAAATTATGAAATACAGCGTATCAATTTTTCGAATATATAAAAATGTTAATCAATAACCTCGAACCAAGGGGGGTGGCGACAGCTTTGAGGGGGATTTGGAAGATATCGAAATTGTTCCAAAGAGAGATGAAATAAGACACATAATCAGTTAAAAAGCAGTTACCTATATTATTTGATGATCAAACAATATTTGTAGAAAATATAATTTAAAATAATCTCACCTTCGAAAAAAGCGCATTTAAATCCATAAACTTCTAAATTCCCCTTAAAAAATAAAATATTGGTTTGATTTGTACTCAGAAACACCAAACAGGTAGAAAAATACAGAAATAATATAAAAAATCCCCGCTAAATAAAACAAAAAGTCAATAAAACTTTCTTTTCAAAATATTTAATATGCTTAAAAAATGTAACAATTCTATTTGGTTTACTAATTAGAAAAAGTGGTCGTTATATTAGGGTCGAGGTTTTCGAAACGTTTTTGTTCCTGAAAATAAGTGGACGTGTAGAAAAATAAATATTTCGAGTAAAATTTTCTACCAACAATTTATATTCTGGAATCTTCCAGATTCCCTGATTCTTCGTACGTTTTCTGACATAATTATGAAATTGAATTTTTCTCAACCTAGTTAAATCCGTCGATATGACAACCTACTTATTTTTTAAATTGCATGGTACACTCTTTGCATTTTTCGAAAGCTGTTTTTTCGAATAGTACCTATTCCATGTCCTTTTTTACTGAGTTTTTAATATTGCATATAACTGCTAAGTAAATGTTATAAATACTTATATGACATTACTTGATTTTTTAAACCGGAATACTTTGTACATTTTAAATGGAACGTTTGCAAATCTTCCACAGATTGTAAAAGTTTCTTAGAATATTGTCCTAAAATGAACAATATTGCCATATTTATCTACAAACACATTATCGAATTAATATTCAATACATTTTCGGACTTTTTTGAAAAACTCTTTTTCTATTTTTCCTGCAAACAATATACGCTTCTAAATGCATGAATGCCATTTCATAATATTAAATTTAAACTTACTTTTCAAAATATTTAATATGCTTAAAAAATGTAACAATTCTATTTGGTTTACTAATTAGAAAAAGTGGTCGTTATATTAGGGTCGAGGTTTTCGAAACGTTTATGTTCCTGAAAATAAGTGGACGTGTAGAAAAATAAATATTTCGAGTAAAATTTTCTACCAACAATTTATATTCTGGAATTTTCCAGATAGTTTTCCCTATATAAATATTTTTCCGTCGTAAAATTACGGAATGTTATTTACATTGAATGTTTCTGCTGAAACTGTTTGATTCCTAGAAGCTGGTTTCATAATATTTTCAAATTTAACATGTTTTTGAACAAATGGTGTTGATTTAGATACACGTTACGAAAATTATGCCTATTTTTCATCATTTTTAGTTGCCGCATTTCGACACGAGCAAATCATCTTGCAGACTAAACCTAAACCAAGGATCGACAGCCCCGACGCCATCCACGCCCATGGTTGACTCACTCCCTAGTCTCAATAACAACCTAAATAAGGACCATGAAGTTACAAACAACAACAAGGAGGACATTTCCTTCCCCCTTACGTCAATCGGTAAGGTTTTTAATCATTTCGGTTCTATTGTCTAGGCAAAATGAAAATAAAACACACAGCTCTGCTAATTTCAGTGTTCCTTTCCTTTCCAGTTTTATATATAAACATTTTCATAAAATCAAATGAAAATAAAAGTGAAAGTGGAGACGTGTATTAAAAAAAAACAATTCAAAAAACCATAGAATAAATCCAAAATAAACTACTCCTAAATAGGAAGAATGATTTTAAATGTTATTTAATTTCTTCGGTAATTAATTAGTAATTAATGTGTGCTCTTTGGCGGTTTTGAGTCTGAGAGAAGTAGAGCTTGAGCTTAAAAATATCCAATTTGTTATATGGGTCCTGCACCATTACTGAATATTAGCCACTGCGGAAATTGGTTGTCAACGCTTGCCCACTTGCATAACATATTTCAAACTTTCGACATAGTTTCGATATTAATGATTGGGCCACCAAAAGTAGGGGATCCAATAAACAACTTTCATCGAATCAGAATTTAGGATCGCCAAAATATTACGCCGTGTAATTTCGAAACTTATAGTAGGGATGTAAATGCAACTTTCTTAACTGCTTGAAATACCTTATTTTCATAGTATATTTTATAGTAATTTAAAATAAATTTGTGATAGATTACACAAGTATATACTGAGTTTGATGTTTGATGATGTTTGGGGACCCTTTTTCCAAAAAATTCTATAGTTTTGCTCTATCACGTTTTTTTTTAAAGCGCTACGACGTGAATATCTTTGGTCCATGTTAGGCACGATTTTTAAATGAATTGATTTAAACTTATGTGCAGTTTGGTTGTATTGGTCGTCGTCCTACTGCGTAAAGTATAAATATGGAAAGAGGACATTGCGTGAACAATGCAAATAACTTTTGTTATATCTGTGGTAGTACTGTTGTAATAATGCAAAGCCAAACTATAGCTTCTTTTGCCAAAGATATATACCACACTTATTTTGGTGTAAAAATTGGCGACCAAGTCCTGGGCTCCTCATACTGTTTGTTCCGTTTGCGTTGAAGCATTAAAGGACTGGTAAAAAGGTAGGAAGAAATGTTTCAGCTTTGGTGTTCCTAAGGTTGGCGAGAGCCTATGAAGCACAGTAATTATTGTTATTTTTGGTCGTGTAATGTTCAAGGATTCAACAGAAAAAATAATAAACAAATTGTGTATCGCAATCTTGACTCTGCTATATGACCAGTTCCTCATGGACCAGATGTATCGATACTTACCGCCCCCAAGGAATTAGAATCTAGTTCCGATCCAGATGACTCAGATTTTACACCAGATTTGGTGACGAGCATTTAATGACACCTGGCGTCACATCGCGAAAAAGAGTTATGTCGATATTTTACTCAGGAAGGACTGCTAGTGTATCATAATAATAATTTTGATGAATTTTGTAGACCTGAGTTATTGGAATATTTGTGGAACTGATATGATGATTCGTGCATTCGGATTCCAATGATCTCGTACTCAGAATTGGTATTTCTGCAGAAATTCAGCAGCGATCTTCTTGTCCAAATACTTTTTTCAGCGCTGAGGAATTGTAAAAAAAGTAAATGCAGAAATCGTAAAAATTTCAATTTTAAAATAGCTAAAATTTAAAATTGAGGTTAATTTCTTATATCAAGTTACCATAATTAATTAAATTGACACGATTTTTTAGAAAGGCTTTTATTAATAAAATCATAATAAATTTAAACAGCGTAGCATTAATAAATTACGTTCTGACTTATTTGTATTTTATATGGCAATTCCAGCACTTGCTTACAGAACGCTGTAGGCTTTGCAGGCAGCCAGCCATAAAATTCTAATCATCCAATTACCATAAAATACCCCAAATTTATCGGGCACACTGTGCTTTAAAGATATTGTGATCTATATACAATAATGATAGGATTGGGGGATCGGATAAAAGCCCAATACTCTGCTCATTAGGGAAAAATGCGAATTGATAATACAAGATAGACTTACAATTTACCATTCTTCTGAAACTGGGTCAGTTTAACTCTGATGAAGCCAACAGGATGTTTGGCGAAACGAAAAGCTTTGAAACTAGTATTAGTTTCAGTTAGTATTAGTTAAGTTTTGTGTGTTTGGTAAACAAGATTATTCATCCTCGTTAGTTTGTTTGATTGCTCAAAAAAATGCCTATCCTTTTTTAAACTTAATTTTCTAATTCACTTTGAAGAGAAAGGAGCTTTTTCTATTCATAAATTTTATTATTTGATTAGTAAATGACTGAAGCTTTACAGTTATAAATTTATATAATTTATGGGGATGAGATTGATAATTGTTTGCATGATGTCTAATGATTTGTATTTATTTCTAGAGGCACTACGCTTATACGGAAACCGACTCACCGAATACGAAAAGACTGAAATTGAAAAATACTCGAAAATCTGGTATCTCGGTTTGAGCGCCTGTAAAATTCACGGCGAACAAGGCGGATCCCAAAATGGTGGATACGATGACGAGAGCGGAAGTTATAATAAGGTAGGATATTTTGTGCAGTGTGTATGTTTTTTCATCCAGCATTCATTATTTTGTTAATGAAATACGGTACCTAATTAACTAACCAAAACGTAATTAATTACCGATGGTATATCAGTAGCTACCGTTAGGGTAATCATTACTGGTCTCACACAGGCAAAAAGAAAGAAGATTTATGACGTGATTTATTGTAGTCTAAATATTTTTAAAAAATTTGCTCGAAAATAGTTTAGAAATATAATCTTATCCCTTATTTGTATGGTTCAATTTTTTTTACGTTCTGTTAATGTATGATTTTGCTTTTACCAAAATGTAGGTTAACAATCGTTATTTGTTTACGTTTTCATTAATTACAAAAAAGATTTTTTTTTTGTAATTAATATACAGAATTCAAAAATAGTAAAAGCTACGTTTCCAGATTCCGCGATGATATTTTAAATTCTGATAACATTTCACTGATACACTTCTAAAGTTTCCTATTTTGAAAAACCTCCAAAATTCTAAGATGTTAAGAATTTTTTTATCGACACTGGTAAATCTGACAACACTGCTGTTAACATTTCTGAATTGTTTAATTAATAGAAACAAAATTTTGAAATGATGAGGCTTTATCAAATTCGACATGCGCAATTCACGACAAAAAATATAAATAGGGCATTCCATTTAAAACAAAATTATGACGTTTAACGTAAAAGTGTTAAATTTGTTTAATTCTGTTCAGTTTTACAGATATTTAGACGTTCTGGTACTTTTTACTAGATAGTTGTCCAGTTAGGTTACATTTTTAACATAGATTATCTAAATAAAAACACCAAACTAGCAAGAAGTGGGTGTCCTATACTGCATTATGCTACCATATTTTCTCGACGTACGCATATGGTCTTAACACTTATATCGTTTCATAAACCCCTTACTTAATAAAATTATCTTTTTCATGTTTATTTTTGAATTTATGTATTATTGCAGTTTATGAGATCTTGTAAGTTAATTACTACTACTAGTTTTTATTTTGAATAACATAAGAAAAATTATAAGTATAAAAATTAGGCCTACTTTCAAAATTCTAAGCCCGGAACATGGACAACTTAAAATCTCTCAAAAGTCGCTAAACGAAATAACTTTTATGACCATATTTTTATTTAGACAATAATGGCGAGGAATGGGGTACAGCTCACTTTTTTTCTGGTAGCGTGCCGCCCTTATTTAGAAAATTTACATGAAAATCGAACAGGACAATTAATTACCGTAAAAAACTTAGACACTAGAATTTTGGTGCTTCGATTTGAGTCAAATTCTGGGAACTGTTTGTTGGTTATCAACGCAGGAACCGCGTACGCAATACGAGTTGTTATCAAAACTTATCTTCCAGATGTTCGTCGTTTCCGTTGTCGTTCAGTGTTTATGGAACTAATGAACTAATGCATTACAAATTAGCATTGTTCGTAACACAAATTTTGCGCCTTAGAAAAACCCGGGCCTATGTCGTGGAACTGGGTCGCCCGCCCGACGAAGTATATTAAAATTTATTTAATCATATTTTGCGACTACCTTCCATGTCATTTGAGATGTAAATGAGAGTTGCGTGACTATTATACGAATGCTCGGTGGATTCGGTCGCGGTCGGAATGGTTGATAGTAAAAGCTAATTGATGTCTTAAAGGCAATACCGGTGAAATTGAAATTAAAATCGCTTTTGCTCTGGGCATCGGGTTATTTGTATCTCTAATTTACAGTTTATTTGCAGCAGTTTACGAACTGACGATACTTAGATATCGGGTTTATTATAAATGGACTTTTAATTTCGACAGTTACATACTTATGGAGGTTTGGCTCGAAATAAAGTTCAACATTAATAACTTGAACTTTAATACATTTGTTTATACATAGAAATAACGCATACCAAATATCAAAATTCAAATCCCAATTTTTAAGTTGTGAGTCCTTTCGAACGACACTAAACGCGCGGGAATGATTGTGACGTCATACCGCTGCTTTTCGATCGATACGGCGAGAGAAACTTACATTATTTGCGTTTATTTTTGGCTCGTATAAAGGTGTGTTTATATTTAATCTACGCCAGTTTGTATTTGTGCTTTGTGTGCTTTACATTATAATAATGGCAGCAACACAAAACCAAATCGTGCCATCGTGTTTGAGTGCAACCCGTAAAGCGCCAGATTAAATTATTATACGTTTACCAGAAAATAAAAGCCGTCGTTTTTTGCTAACATTATGTTCAGGTGTCACTTTAGGCTCGAGCTTGCAAACATTTTTAACTATTCGAACTTGCACCGATCCTATTGCAGTCTCCATAGGAATGCCTTCCTGATCTATATAAAATAAAGAACACTTTAGGTTATCAATGCCAATATACTTTAGTTAGTAGTATTTAGTTCCACTAGTTTAAAAGAAATCCTTTTTGTTTTTTTGTTGAATAATTTACATTTTATTTGAAATACCGTTTGAATTTTAAAAACTAGAACACCTTAAGCTGCTTACAATATTATATTGGTTTAAAACTAGTGGCTAAATTTTCAATAAACATACCTTTTAGCTTTAACACCGCAAACCTCAGCAAAAGAATAACTTTCAGTCTTTTGCATGTAAGACCATAAAGGTAAATCGTAGTGAGCTTTTAAAAAATCGACTTCGGTCATTTTCAAAGCTTTCTTTTTGATACTAAACACAAGTTGACAAAAGCAAGCGACAGGATCAAGATTAAAATTAAAATTAAAACCACCACCGGCTTCTCTATGATACCGTCCTGGTGACGTTTTTTAACAAGCGCATTGACGTCACAGCCGGTCACTGCGCGTTTCAAAGAGGATTTAAATTTTACCATTTTTAATTGCTTATATTTGTTACATAGAACTACGAGATTTTTGTGTACTGTGATCCTTTTAATAGTATAAACTTACTTTTTTGTAGTTATATCTAATACTACATAGATTATTATACATTTAACAAATAAAAAAAAAACAAATCGGTTATTTCAATTTTAATTATTAATAAAGTTTATATTAAATCTTTGAATGCAGGTTCTTCTTGTTTACACACAAATGTGCTACTGTTGAAGATAATGTACCCAATAACAATAATTTGAACAACGAATGAGGTTATCGCGACTCCAACTTAAGAGTGTATTGCTCAGCTTAAAATAATATAAAAGTTCGCTTTGTAAAATTTAGAACAGAAAATGCAACTGAGTACATAAGTCTTGAGCGAGAATCTAGCTTAGAACAATAAAAATGTCGATGCTTCTAAACGTGCAATATTTTGAATGCAATATGTGGCTACAAAGTTGACTGCTACAGCTTAGCGTATCATAATATTTAATGCAGATAATGATGTTTCGTAGACGGGCTACACAATCTGGCAAAAATGAACGATGAAATCATACGCTTTGTGGCGGTCGAATTTTAGAAAAGTTTTCTTGATCAAAACATTATTTGAAAACTTTTGAAGAAGGTCAAGTCAATGAAAAATAAAAATTAAAAAAAAGAAGGAACTAAGTTCTAATTATTTAAGAAATTGTGGATAACATGTGCACTTTTTTATTATTTTTAGGTGAAGATCTCCCTTTGATATTGCTAATTTGTTTTCAGGTCTTGCACGACCATATATGTTACCGATACGAGATTCTGGAAGTAATAGGCAAGGGTAGCTTCGGCCAAGTGATACGAGCACTCGATCACATGACCAACAAGCACGTGGCCATCAAAGTGATAAGGAACAAGAAACGGTTCCATCACCAAGCATTGGTCGAGGTCAGGATTCTCGATCACCTCAGAAAACGGGACAAGGAGAGCAATCACAACGTTATCCACATGCTGGAATATTTTTACTTCAGGAATCATCTGTGTATTAGCTTCGAATTGCTCAGGTAAGCAGTACCTATTATCTTTTTGCAATAAATAATAGTAAAGTCAAAGTAATATCTATTTATACAGAAAATACCTAAAAAATTAGTGCCCGCCTTACTGCTGTACACAACCAACCTGCCTCGAGTTTTAATTGTTAATACCTATTGTTTTGGTAAATCAGGATAGATAGTGATACATTTTTTATCTTATCAACTCATCCCGCTGTATTTGTGGCGTCCAGAATGCAATTATATCTAATTGTATAAGTATCGTTCTAACGGCAAGGAACAAGTGGTTTTAAGTAGAAGCGAAATTATAACCGATTTAGATATTTTGCTTTGCAATTATGACTCCATGGTTTCTATACGTGCCCGCCAAGATGTTATGCTAAAATGCGCCCACGATGGGTTCGAAAAAGATTAACAAAGATTGATGTACCGTTAACACGACTTTTTAAATATCGACGACCTGTCCCAATATATCGCGAAAACATAAGTACATCCTGAATGAAAAATCGCACTTTTAAATCTGACCCAAATACATTGAGTGTTTGTAAACAATTTTCTGTCATTAACGCAGGCAAGGAACCTGTCTAAAGATTAGACAATAACAAATTAAATGTAGGTTAAGAGCTTCGTCTGAAATGCCTTTTATATTCTAAAACCCAGCTTAGATAAACAAATAAATCATGTGAGGACTATTAAAAGCCTATTCATAGATGTGGGACAAAATATATGTCGCGTTTAACAAAAAGTCCTCTCTTTGGTTAATTATCTCCATTGATTGATTTTTCCTTTTTTTACAATTTGTGAGGGGATTGTAATATTTTTCTAAGTGGCACTTCTAATTGACAACGAGCAGTATATTTAACGGTCGACTTAATTCGAACCAACACTTACGAATTTCCATGGACAATCCGTAAGAATCTTATTAGGTATTTATTTCAATAGTTTTAAACAGTCTATCTTATTTATTTATTGAAACTGAATTTTTCAATGTTAAATTCGGTAAAATATGTGAGGTATTGGCAAATAGCACATACCGTGCGTTCAATTTATCTTGATAACATTTTAATTGACTGTAACTTTTTTGTTTTTAGAGATGTCAAGGTAAACAAGAAAAGAAAATGTAGGGTTAGTGGAAAAGTTTCTTTTCCAAGGGGCATGTAATACAAAACACTATCAATTATCTGACGTATAAGTCTGCATCATATTGTTTTAAATGATTACTTTATATTTTAGTCCACTCGTTTTTGACAATTCCGCAAATATAGGACTGCAACAAAAAATAATTATTTACAAATTAACGAAGAACGAAAACATTAAAAATAACAAGACGCAGTAAAGTGAAAAATTCTTTAACTAACTATTCTAAATAGCGCTGCAGGTGACCAGCATTTTTCTGAACACATTTCTCATACACTCTAATTGTATGATGTCTTGCATTTAGTAACGTTTCCGGATTGTCTCTTAACTGATCAATTGCCTCTGGAATCCTTTGCCAAAGTTCCACGACATTATTACAAGTTTTCATGTGTCCTCAAAAAAATCCATTAAAGTTAAGTCGGGCCCAACCTATGGGATATTTCATGTTAAGGAAATTTTTAACTTGCATGACATTGTGAGGAGGGTCACCGTCTTGCTGCCATATAATCAGTGCTGATATATTTTGGGGTAAATCTTCTATATATATTGGTCTATTTGGTGCTCTAAGAGTTGCGAATAATGATCTCCAGTTAACATTTGGATTGGTACCCCTGGGTTTTTATTTCGTCTATTTGTCTAGGATTATTTAAAGACGTTGTTTACTAATATGTCAAACATGAACATATTTTTATTTGTCAGTCAGGGTCCCCTTTGAAATTATATAAAAATGTTCTACTTTTGACGATTTGTCAAAAACGAGTGTACTAAAATATAAAGTGTGTTACATCATTGTAATCGGAATAAGACATTCTATTAAACACATATATAATATACAGATTGTTCCATTTAAAAAAGTATGATGTAGGCTTATATGTCAGATTTCAGTATTTGTTCGGAAAAAACTTGGCTTCTAACCATACATTTTCTTTTTTTGTTTACGTTGATATCTCTAAAAACAAAAAAGTTACAGTCAATTAAAACTTGTGTTTCCTTAACAATCCACAGGGTGTTGAAATATGGACATTTTGAGACATTGACATCAAATTTGGAGAATCGGTTATACTGCCTAACATAATCCGCCATGTAAAATAGTTATGACAATCCAAAAATTCGTGTGACGATGGTTCTAAAATAATTTTTGTGATTTATTTGGACACTTGTTGCTTTCTTGAGTCCTTTCTGCATCTGCAAGAAAAAATTAAAAACCAATAGTGCTGCAAATGGCTAGGTGAAATGTGCAAATGGCATATAAAATTGTCTTTATTTTATAACTATGATATTTAAGCACCTCTATATAGTGATATGTTATTGATATTTTTAACCAAAATTGTTTGTAGAAATATTCTTTCAGAAAATTATATGAGCACAAATAATGTTCATGAACTAGGATTTAAACTATATATTTATATATATTATATATAGTAAAGTGACGGTCTAAAATTAAACATAATTGAAATAGTTATTACTGTCTTCTTTTTCAAGAGACGTGTTACGTACCATGTACTCTAACACTAAAAGTATTTTATTGCTAAAAACATTGTCTTACATGAAAGTCAAGCAAAGCATTGTGCGCAACTACATGTTTGTATGGAATTGTCAGTACAACATGTAAACAATAGTCGTATATTTTCGACCAGAATATCAATTAAACATTTCCTGTCTTACACAGGGCAAGAAGAACGTGACCATTTGGCGGCCATAGACGGCGAATGTGTATTTTCCGTACTGGTTAGGTTGGTAAAAGTAATGTGGAGGAAGATATAGCCCCAAATTATAGTTTGAAGTTCTATAGTCTAGTTCTAGATATTTTCTATACCTAATGTCTATATTTTAGAAAAGCTATATGAGTGACAGTAAGAATTAAATATATCTGTTGAATTGCATTGTAGTGTGCCATTGCCACTGCATACAACTTGATGGGAGTTACAAACCCTCGTCCAATTCCAATCGGGAATAATTAGCTAAAGCTGCAAAGATTGCGGTTGCTCCTCACGTAATCGTTTACCTTCCCCGCCACATACTTTATGCACTGCAACAACAGAGGTCCGGGATGGATACGAGTGATTGTGTTGCCGCCTAGCAATTCGACGAATCTCGATACATTTTTACGATAACAGACATATACATAGACAGACATTAGGCAAGGTAAAACATACACATAGACCTTTTGGATAGGTATACTTTTTCTTAGACTTTTGAAAAGAAGAGTTAAATCCCAAAGTTTTGAAGTTTGAATCAAACATTATATATATTATACTAAATATTTTTAAGACTAATAAGTCTGAATGGATGACCTGAAGATCCTTATTATCTTCTATCGTTGAAAAGGTCCGTTAGTTAAAGGTATAATGTCACAGGCCCTAGGTGCAGGAAACTTACGGACTGAGTTCGTGTCATTCTAGAAAACACAATTTTCTTGCGAAACACCAAACGCGACAAGTAGTCGAATAAGGAAAATAAATTTAATACGGTCCAAGTATCACCGCGTATTTAACAATTGACGGTTGACGACAATGCCATTGTCTGAATGAAACGTGAGGATGATACGTTTTCCGGCTAATGAGCAGCTTCTTTTACAAAAGCTAGGATCTGTTTACCATACCAAAGCGGACGGAATGAACAAAATTAAAGTTGTTCAAAAATGCAAAATTCAAAAAAATAAAGTTATATTATTTTTATTTGTTTTTAATGTTTTTAATTATACACTGATCAGATCAGGGATCAGATCTGATAGTTATGCATGTGTTCTGCATTGACGTCACTAAGTGAATGTATGACGGTAGTAGAAAAAATATAGTATTTAACAAGTTTGTAAAATTTTTCAGATACTCGTTTATTAAACGCTCGTTCCGATGCGCTCCGCTAGTGTCTAAAGAGACGCGTGACTAAAGTATCGTTTATGAAACTTGCTGCATAATAGACTATTCTTAATCAAATAAAATAAATCTTAACATTTATGAAGAAACTTACCTGGTGATTTTTGCGTGTTTTGTTGAGTGATAGTAAAGCATACGAAGAAATATTCATCGGTTTAACACTGGAAACCACTTCTTCTGTTTGATCTCGACCAGCATTATTCGGTTAGCCGACGAACTATCCAAATGCATAAAACATAAGATGCATCTAAATTAAGTTTTATGTTAATCCAAACTCGAGAATAATGACATACTCGAGGTTCAACGACTTCATTAACTTAATGTACAATTAAATAATTTAAACGCTTCGCCATGTGTAACTAATTCCCTTATTTTTCGTAGTTTTCGTATATATACGAAGTAATTTATCGTAACTGCACGTATGCTATACATATCACAGAGGCGTAGAGTGTTATCACTGAATATATAGGGTGATTCACCACAAAATTTACCGATCTGTAACTATAGAACTATAACTAGTAAGTATAAATATTATTATATTTCAATTAAGTAATTTTCTTTTTATAAACAGGCCTAGTTAAAAAATGTATACAGATCAGTGCAGAAAAAATAACAATTAATGTCATTGTTTTCAATATGCTAATAGTGTGTTAAACGGCATGTAAGTCACGAGTTTATTTCTCACGATCGGAGCGAGCAATTAATAAACGACTGATGTCAAAAATTTGCACACTATAATTTTTCTAAGACCGTCAGTCTTTAGATACATTTTTGCAAAATGACACTAATCGGTTCACGGACATGGCCGTCAAAATTGAGAAACGTCAAAATTCAAGCAGTGAGGTAATATCTCCGAAAACATCCGATTGCTCCAAAACCCGTGGGGAGGTGAAATCCCGGAAATGTCCGAAGTGGCTCGAATCCGTGGGAAACGAAACTGACATGGCAAAATGACACTTCCCTCATGCTAGATCGGTGTATAACTGGGCAATTTACAGAAGGGAGTAGCAAAATTTTCGTCTTTTTTAAAATTTAATGTTTTGTTCAGGCGTTTTTTTCACCTAAATTACTTACTACCTTGTTAAACTGATCTCCAAAACTGTGAAGCATTTACACAAAATATGTAACCCCCATCAATAAAAGACCTTAGTTGGACGGCCGATGAAAATTTGTAAAAATAAAACGTACAACAATCGCGAATTTTAGCGAAACTATCTTCCTAAATTACGTTTAGCGAACGCTCGGTATGTGGCATGAGTTTCGTTTAAAGTTTGTTGAACTTTAACCACCTTCAAATTGTATTAAACCGCCGCTTTCGCGTTTATTAAGACTAATTGAAACAATCTTCTTTTCAGCCTTAATCTCTACGAACTGATCAAGAAGAACAACTACCAGGGATTTAGCTTAAATTTAATCAGGAGGTTCGCGAACTCGCTACTCAAATGCCTCAGGCTCTTACAGAAAGAGAATATCATCCACTGCGATCTAAAACCGGTAAGTTGGCTGTCCTTCATTCGTTATTGATTAGTTCTCTACAATGTATAAAAGCCTTATCTTAAGAAGTTACTATTATAACATTATATTTATTGACATCTAACTTTCTTACGCATATAATTAAAAAGGAAAACATAGGAAGCGCGTTTTCCGAAAATGTACATTTTACAAAAATTGCAAAACTGTTTTTGCTATAAAAAACTTCTGGTTTCTATGAGAATATTTATAAAGCACCATTTTATTGTTAAAAGTGTAATCTTTTTAAAAAAAAGTTTCATAGTTGTCAGCAGATTGTTCTTTTTTTATATATCATGAATTAGGGCGCCCATTAAGCAATTGCGTGTATAGGAAATAAAAAAATTCTAAGTGAAGAAATACAGCCTAATTCAGAAAAATCATGAAACAGAAGAATTTCAACGAAACTTCTACAAGAGAAGCAAGTTAATAACAACATTAACAGTTGAGATATTCTAAACCTCGAATATATGGATGAAAATAAATATATTTAGTTTTTTTGGTAAATTGTATTTAAAGTAGATCGGTTTTATTTTATTCGCTAATATAGAGACTTCTTTAGATTTATCTTATGCATTAAATGTAGTACTTTAATCATAAAAAATATCGCGTTTCTATAACGGATTTCTTTGCTCGTGGCGCATTAACTCCGATCATTAAATTTTTATTACTCCGCTCTACCGAAATAAATCACTCTAAAGCTTGCAATTTTCGTATTTTTAATCGAAACTTTAACGTTTGGGCATTAACTTGTTTATTATTAAAGTTCGCTTCGTTCGTTCGTTCATAAATCACCGTGCATTAAAGTAGGTCCTCCGTACTAAATTCGGTGGATTTATTATAACCAAATATTTATTAGGGAAAACATCATATCCAAAAATTGATTACGTGTTTCTGTTTGCAACAATATTTTTCCAGTGTAAATTAAGTGGCTGCAGATTAATTTCGACGTTACTCTGTTATATATTTTTTAAATATTTCATATGGCTTTAGAGTCTAGAAAGATTTCATGGTCCGACACTTGAGCAGCGACGACGACTATTAAAGAAAAAGCTGCAGTGGGGTTTTTGACTGGGTCAATATTATTACCGTCGCATATTGCACTGCAGGTCTCATTCATTAACATTTTAATATAATTCGTTAATTTATTAATGTTATCTGCTACGCATTGTATGTATTGTGGAGTCGGTATGTAAACGACCACGCCTAGTCTAATGAAAGGAACCTTTAATTTCGTCGAGAAATTAATTTCTCGGAAAACGCTAATTACGCTGGTTAAGTGAGCGAAATTAAATTCTTTATGAAATGAATGTCAGACGAAAAGAAACTATAACTCCTTATTTATATTTGTTTGGGTTTAGATGTCCCTTATTGGGAATGTTCTTTAAGTTTCTGATACCTATCCCTTAACATTAAAAAATAAAATAAATTATCAGTTAGATTTGAGATGTATTATGAACATTGCTTTTTAAATCAGAAAATATAGAGACCTGAATAAAATTAATTTTTGGAATAGAATCTAAGATAATAATATAAATAATTAATTTGAGATGTATTATGAACATTGCTTTTTAAATCAGAAAATATAGAGACCTGAATAAAATTAATTTTTGGAATAGAATCTAAGATAATAATATATATAATTAATGTAGAAGCTGTAAGCGGTGCTTCGATAGCCAGGGTAAGAACGGGAGAGAAGAAAATTATAATGAAAAAGCACTTTAGCTAAATTGCATTTTTGCAAGAGATGAGCCTTTCTAAAAATAAATTTATATTTAAATTAGTGAATCCTTGTGACAATGAATTACAAAAAACAATTGCGTTACAGGTAAAAAATTCCGAAGCATGTTATTCTGATGGTTGTGTATCCATTGGGAAGTATGGGTATGAATAGAGTCGTTTTATTTTCATAACAAATATGTTAAAATGTAGAATTGCTACGGGTTGGATTTTAAGCCATCTAAATTCAGCACATATTCATAATAAAATTTTCACAAGCAGTATTGTATTCATTATCAATAAAAAAAAGATCACCCTTGAGATCACCTTACACCTGAAATATAAGCGAAAAACCCTTGAAAATTTTGAAATTTAAATTAGAATAATAGTTTATACCTGCAGGGGAATTAATGTTCGTTCAATCAAAACTCCTTTTATGATTTAAAAATGTTGAATAGTGAAATTATTTTTCTTATTTTTAGTATTGGGACAATTTTTGTTTCGGAGTTAATCATCGAATTTTGCTATAATATTAAAAAACGAGGGCTTCTCATTGAACTGTCGGATACAAACACGTGTGTAATTAACTTATAGAGATGCTAATAATAAGTACCTCAGCCACGTGCTTGTTTGTCAGTTAATCTGATTTTTCTTAACTTAATTTTAGAAATTAACTTTTAAATAACTACATATACGTACACGGCAATAATTGCATTACGAAAAATACTATTGCAACAATTGCAGTTTTAATTGGCCAGTTTCGAAACAATTATGCAGGTGCTTTCCTATGAAAATGGCTTCAAA